AAATGTTTAATAAAGAATATATATTTAATTATTATTCTAAACGTAAATATTGTAATTGTTTTAGTCAACCGACACAAATAGAATGTGATGAGTGGACGCATCTCCATCCAGGATATACATCTTTACCGCCTATAGCAGAATGGCGTTTGCCTTTTTTACCTAAAGTCGAATTGTGGAAACTGATAAATATATATTTTTTTTTAGCTCCTGAATTAAATCTAAAAACTTATGAAAAATGGCTAGATATTGCCCCCATTCTTAAAATACAACCTCATATCATATGTACATTAGCCATAAAAGGAGAAATATTGCGTGCTTGGGGAAATAAACATAAAACTGATAAATGGTCTCTTTGTTCAAAAAATAGTAGTTTGCTAAGTGATATAAAAAAATGTATAGAACGAATGACTGGTCCAGATGCATTATATTATGGCACAGCAGCATTATATTATGTTGTGAATCATACACCACCAGGTATTATACTTGTTGTTAAAAAATATACTTTACGATATTGTCCTGACAAATCAAGATAAAATAATCTTTCATTTTCATTAGGTGCTGATCAAGTGGCAGCAGTTGAAGAATGTTACAAATATGCTCAACTATCAGCTCAGGAATCTACGTTTGAAGAGGGAATGCTACAGGTATATTTTTCTGTTCCGTTTAAAGTTACTTCATAAACATAATTTATTTTAACAGAAGTTATATTTAATTTTTAATATAATCTATAATTTCCTGTTTTAGAAAATAAAATTTAAATATTTGCGTTTTACATCAGAACATATTTTATATACACACGGATTAGGAAATAAAGATTATTTATCGTTTATTGAAAATCCGTATAAATTAGTCCGTGAATTATATGCAGATGAAAGCATACCGCAAAGGTATCGATGTGTCACTGATCATAGGCCTGATATAAATTCTGCAGTTAATTCTATTAGTCTGTTATTTTCTATTAACGTAGTAAAACTACGAATGGAATTATTACAAGAATGGTTACAGCCAGATATTAAATATGTAAAGTTTAATCATAGTGTAACAGAAACACTTTCAGTCACGACAAATTCGGAACTAAATTTAAATTATGATGATAACTTATTAAGGTACATTAGCACATTTAGAATATTCTTTTTGTGTACATTCTGTAGAAAATTTAGTCATTTATTATATGTTTTTAGAGCATGCTACATTATGGAACATGGAAATGTTGAATTATCAGCAAACTTTCTCATAAACATGGGTTTTGGGGATACAAATGAAGATTATAGTCCTGAAGTACGGTATAGAGCTCTTCACGTATTACAAAGTATTATTGATACTGCTAAATTAGAAGATCTAACTAAACGTGATTATCAAACGATCAGGTATTACATAATAATTTATAGTAAATGTTCCTTTCTAATTATTTTGTATTTATAATTTTATTTGTTACATTTAAATAATTCTGTTTCAGTAACTATATGAAATCTCTGAAATACATAGGAAAACTAGAACTGTTAGGAATAGGCTACAGTATAAATACATTTGAAACATGTTCTAAACTTGAACTTATACAAATTTTATGGAAAACACAAAGTTATTCATCACAAGCACTTATTATTATTGCACAACTTTGCATCGATTTTGAGATACATGAATATTCACTATGGGATCAAAATTTAACTAAATTAGCTAAATTATTAATGGTAAATAAATTACATGTGTAAAATGTATAAAAATATTTTATATGTTTCTATTATATTTTTAGGTCAATGAATTGAAAAAAATTTTACCGCAAGTACGAAATATAAGTATCATTGTAAATTCCAATGGATATCTATTAGGGTGGGAAGTAATAATTCTAGAACCTTTTAGAAAAATGGATATATATCCGACTTCTGAACAAATCGATAATTGTATTGAAGCTTTACACTTTTTATATTCTTGTCCTGTTGTACACATGCTGAATTTCTATGACATCATAAAGTATTGTTTTGAGTGCCAGCAACCTCATTTAGCACTTGCATTTTTACCTTTTTTGAGTTAATTTTTTATTAGAAAATGAAACATATCTCTAATATCTCGAATATATTGGAAAATTTAAATAACTTATTCTTAAATGGAATCCTTTGCATAGCTTATGTAAGTATATGTAGTACTAACTTTTTGTTTTAGTTTGTTCAAAATTTATAATGCATGCATTCTTTAAAATACAACTTCCAACTCAAGATATATTCTTTTAGTGTACCAAAGTTATACAAAGTACACAAGCACAGATCAGCTCCTAATAAAATATGAATAAGATTTCTTATTTTCAGTAAATAAATTTATTAATTTTTGTATCATACAAATATTTTTAAATTTAATTAAATTATTACATTTTGAGATCTATAATAATTAGAAATCTGTACATTTTATTTACATAATTTGTCATACATATTTGTAGGATATAAATTTTGTATACTTACCACTTACATAATTTTATTTAGCCTTATTCCATTTGTCATTGTAATCTTCAATTAATAAAGATTTATTTTGAACTAATTTTACTAAAATAACATCTGATTCGCTGTTTATGTTAGCTGATAGTAGTATACATCGATTTACTATTAAGTTAGCAGGATTATCAGGACTTTTGGAAACAATATAATCTATTTCATCTCCAATTTGAACCTACATATGTAAAATATAATGTATTCCTGTTTTAGTAGATTATATTTTTTACGTTATTCTAAATGTTCATACCATTTCACTCTTTTTTAAACATTTATTTCCATTTAGACGCAAATTACTCTTGTAAAATTCTTTCTCCAGTTTACTACAAACAGAAATAGATTATAATGTTTAAGCAATATTTTAATAAACAATAATATTAACGTACGTGCGTGATATTCCAAATCCAACTTTAGCGACAACATCCAATCGAAGAGAAGGTACTGTACTTTTAATTATTTTCGCCTTTTCGGTATTTAAGTAATCATCAACATCTAATTCACCTTCGTTTTCTTGCTCTTGTTCTTCATGCTTGTTCTACATATACAAATAAACATAATGAATATAAAGTTTATTTTACGTCCAATATGATGTATTTTGATAATTTTGACGATTTTACGATAAAATGATCTTACATGTTTTGATATGCTTATTTTGCTCTTGAATCTTTTGAATGTTACAAAAGCAAGGTTCTGTTGTAAATGTGAACAATCTACAAATAAACTATATCGGCCATGATTAAACTTTGATATATTTTTTGATGCACAAAACATGTGTGTATTTGTACATATTGTTCTCTGTACAATATTAAAAACTGCTCTATATAACATTGCTTAGAATTACACGTTCCAAAAATTACAGGTTATGGATACTTATAGTGATATATTCATAGAAGTTAGAGGAAACGTTTGATGAACTATATATACTTAATATATGTATCCCTC